CTCACCCCGATGCCTTCCCCTTCATCTTTCGTACGCCTAAGTCACCCAAACCTTCGACCAACACCCACACCCTCGCCGGAAACCGCTCCCTCTGCCGCCGCCCGAAAAATCGACAACCACCTTTCAAAATATGATTTGGTGGTCCATGGGGTTTAAATGTTTCAAGATTCGATTTGTAGAAGAGTTTTGATCTAATGCTTTCTATCAGACTAGTAAGGCTTCCGATCTAGTGCTTTTTGTCAGCCATAATGAGAGGGTTTCTTGAAGCCGACAGAGGGGCAGTGGTAGGAGGGCCTTTTGGATAGAGCTTCATCCCCGAAGGGAATCAACCGGAGATGGGTGTTTCTCTAAAAGTTCCAACGATACTTTTATTTTTTTATTGGACGAAGACAGGATTTTCGAGGACCACAGACGACGAGGGAGGCAAGGAGCGAGAAGATGCACGTGGGTTGCAGGTCTCTGGTGTGGGTGAAGATGAAATCGGAGGGAAAGGCTATCAGATGGAGACGAGGAGATCAGATAAAGGGGATCGATCACCAATTGAATATTTTATTTATTGCAAAAGAATTAAAAATGATATATTCTATTAATATAGACCATAATTACACTCTAAATATAGATAAGGGCATCATTGTCAATTTGCTTGTGGATGAATAAAAACGAGCCGTGGAAATATCAGCCCCTTTATCTAAATGTGAACAAAGGGATAAAGATGATTACCTTGTCAGTTATTTTCCCAAAATAAGTCAACCAAATTCACTGCAATTTGATGCGGTCAAGGTTCTGTTTTCTTTTTATTTATGTCGCATATCTTTTATTATTTTTGCAAGTTCTTATTCGTTTCCACTTTTAAGGGCTTTTTAAGTCACTTTCTCTCCGTACGTACGATTTTAATGTTCTTCGATTAGTATTTATTGGCCAATACCAATATGTATGTTTTCTTATTACTCCTTGGTTTCTGTTGTTGGACGTCTTTCGTACCCTCCGTTCTTCCATTCCTGCATTCCTCACCGATTTTGTACTACGGTTGTCAGTCCGTCATGAGTGGGCAGTACAAAAAGTGTTCCACTTTCAACTCAGATGCATCGTCCTCATTAAAGGTTTCCGGTCAGCAGCGTAAGTGTCACCTGTTAATGCCCTTGCTTCCTCTAGACTTGGCTTCACCTTTACCTTACTATGATGACTGTGGCGATTGTTCGGTGTTGTGTGAATATTACGATGCCTTTTGTGGTTTGTTGAGCGGGTAATTTTGTTATCTTATGTTAATCATCCATGTTACACCCGATGTTGCAAGTCTGGTGATTTTATACTACCATTTCCTTTAAGGCCTCCTGTTGTGTTGTCTGATTTATATGATGTTCTAGCTTTTAGGCAAAATATCAGAGCTTGTAATATCATGTTTGCAATGACATCCTTTGGGGCCAAAATTGATGAGGACATTAATGGGGGGTGGTGATCCTTATGTTTTCAAAGTCACTGGTCAAGTCTCACATTGGATAGGTTCTTTATGTCCCAAAGATAACAAGTCCCCTAGGTTTTTACAGCTCTATGTTGTTGACACGGAACATGATGTTTCCAATAGATTGTCAGCTTTTCAGGATGGCTCAAAATAGCCCTTGGATGGAAGGATTGTGTAACTACTAATGGTTACATTGACCACTCACAATATATATATATATATATATATATATATATATATATATATATATATATATATATATATATATATATATATATCTACTTTGAAGACTGCTCAAGAAATAGCTGCAGAAAGAAGTCTAGACTTGTAGGCAATTTGCCTTTTTAATGATGTTCCTGATCGACAGTATAGTCCCCCCGCTCCCGGAAGTCTAAGCTGCATTGTTTACGATGATGACATTGTTGCTAACAAGTATGATATCATTATATATTCCAATTCTGGTGTTCCACAATGAGTCAGTAAGCTCCACCCGAGCTACATGGCACTACAATACCCTTTACTTTTTCCTTATGGTGAAGATGGCTAGCCCCTGCAATTAAAACTGTTAAATGAATCTGGATCCAAGGCCAAAAATCTCAAGGTAAATATGTATTATAGTAATCAGATCCACACACATAATGGTGTCCACTCCCTTATATTCAATTATTGTAGGCTATTTCAACAATATATAGTCGCTACCTACATCGAACAGGGATGTCTTGACTATTTCCCAAATAACCAGGATCGCCTCAGGTCAGAATACATTAGTGGGATTTATGATGCACTTTCCGGAGCGAACAACAAAAGTCATTCTATTGGGAAGCGGGTTCTGTTTCCTTCCTTTGTTGGTGGATACTGTTACATGTATAGCCATTATCAAGACGCGTTATCCATCTGTAGAGAGCATGGGAATCCACAATACTTCTTAAGCTTCACGTGCATTGTCAACTGGCGGTACATGGCTTATCACAATCAAACTAACACACACAGCAGGGATAACATTATATCTCGCATTTTTCATGTTACGGTGAAAGCGTTGATTACATTTATGAAGGAGGACAAAACTTTTAGGGATGTCACAGCCTATAAGTACCTTTGATGGTAATTACATTTTTACTGTTATAGTATCCGCTACATATCTCTTTAATGAGTCTTGCATTCCTTTTTGTATTTCTTTAGATTTTTATACAATCGAATTCCAAAAGCATGGTTTGCCCCACTGCACGCACTTTTATGGGTAGCCGATTCATAGAAAATACGTGATGCTGCTTCCATCGACAAAATTCATCACCGCAAAGATGCCAAACCCAATTTTCATACCACTGTTGTACCGGACTTTTACTTCTTGTATGATTCATGGTTAGTGCGGTTTGCTCAATGTTAAAGTTCCATGCATGAAAGACGATATGTGCACAAAAATTTATCCGAAGGCGTTTTGTGATTCAACGGTGTTTGATAAGCAAGGATATGCACATTACAAAAGAAGTCATGTAGCTCTACATACACTTCAAAATGGAATTGAAATTGACAATCGGTACATTGTACCATACAATAAGTGCTTATGTAGTCGTTCAACGCACATATCATCATTGAGTACTGTGGTTGGAACATGATGATTAATTATCTTTTTAAGTATGTTTCCAAAGGAATGGAACGAGTGAAATTTATAATTCATAAGGATGCAGATGCAGCCAGTTGTAGCACACCAACATAACCGGTTGTTATTGATGAAATTTGTAGTTACCTTGACGGTCGTGACATATGTCCTCACGAAGATGCTTGACATATCCTTGACTTCCCCATCCATAAGCGACACTTACCTGTAACAATACTACCAATGCATCTACTAAATACGCAGTCTGTATATTTCAAAGAAAACACCCGCATCCATGACGTTGTCAGGCATCCAATATTTGGAAATAGTTTATTACTAGGATGCTTTGAAAGTAACAAGTGGGATACCACTGGACACAACATGTCCTACAGCAACTATCCCTCAAAATATTGGTGGGATAAAGGAGCAAAAATATGGAAAAAACGACACCGCACGGAATCACCTGCAAACGGCAGACTTGTCTTCCTTCACCCATCCACTAGAGATCTATTTTACCTCTGGATGTTACTATGTCATCAAACAGGCTGCAAATCTTATCAAGACATTCGCATAATATCCAATCAACTTTACCCTAACTTTAGTAGTGCATGTGAGGCATTAGGATTAATTGGTGAATACAAAGAGTGGATGATAACATTCACCCAAGCATCAGAATGGGCAACCTCACCTCAGCTACGATCCTTATTCTGCCAGCTCCTTCTATTGTGAGAGGTAAGTAACCCCGTGTCTTTGTGGGACGTTTCATGGTGTAAAATGAGTGATGACTTAGTATATAACATAAACAGAAACAACCCTAACGCAAACCTCAATATGACTGACTCTCAGTTATGACAATTCGTCTTATTTGAATTTGAGAAGATATTACAGACATCTACACCATAAAAGTCAGTCTATGATTTTATTTTCCTAAACCTATGGAAGACACTATCAGACTTTGGCAAATTTATCTTCTTTTGGAAGAAACAAGTTATGACAAAGAGTTACTGAAACACCAGAATGAGCAGATAGTTTCACAACTAAATGATGACCAACTTTGTATTTATAACACGGTTATTGCATCAGATGAGTAGGCAAAACAAGTTCTGATATATATATTTATATGGACACGGTGGAATTGGGAAAACTTTCCTTTAGACTACAGTGCTTTCATATTTTCGTTCCATTGGTAAAATTTCCCTCGATGTTGCTGCTTCAGGTATAGCTTTCATTACTACTACCATCCGGAAGGACAGCTCACTCAAGGTTTAATATACCCATTGACTTCACTGACAAGACAACATGTAACATTAGAAAAGGGACATCGCTTACATAACTAATTAAGAAGACATCAATTATTATATGGAATGAGGCACCAATGAGTGACAGACGGTGCTTTGAGTTGTTAGACCGCTCATTGAAAGATATACTAGAATGTGAAACCAAATTTTTTGGTGGACTTTCTGTTTTTTTAGGTGGTGATTTTCGTTAGACATTACCGATTTCCCCAAAAAGCACCACATCACAAATCATAGGGTTAACTTCACCAAACTCATACCTATGGCCATGTTTTACAATACATAAACTTACCCATAATATGAGATTGCTAAATGATGACTCATGCTCTACGACAGATTTCACTATCTCATAATTTGCAGCTTGGTTAATCATTATTGGAGATAGAGACATAGGCCAACCAGATCCCACTGATGATGAGGACACGAAATGGATTGATATCCCATCGTCACTTCTTATATGCAGAGGAGACAAGGCATTGGAAAAGTTAATACATTTTGTTTACTGAGACGAGATTTTGAAACATCCATCTACCTCCACTCTATCCGTTGGAGCAATTGTTTATCCTAAATATGATACTACTTATGAAATAAAGAAAGTATTTTGAAGGTTGCTCCTGGAGAAACAAAATGTTACAAAAGTGTTGATGCCATCATGTCAAACGGAATTCAATCTGTAGAATTTGAAGCTTTCTATCTAGTTGAATATTTAAATCAATTAAATTTTGTCAGTGTACCTCCTCATGAAGTATCACTCAAAATTGGCACACCGATCATGGTTTTAAGAAGCATTAACCAAAGGGAAGGATTGTGCAATGGTACAGGATTAATGGTATCTCAGTTGCTACCAAATGTAGTAATTGCAACTATCATTACTGGAACATGCATTGGGAACCAAGTATATATACCTCGTATTAAATTTATCCACAAAGCTCCAAACATACCGTTCACTTTTATCAGAAAACAGTTTCAAGTAAAGGTATGCTATGCTATGATAATTAACAAAAGTCAGGATCGGTCGTTAAAGAAGATTGGTGTTTACCTACCTCAATCAGTTTTCACACATGGTCAACTTTATGTTGCTTTGTCTCGAGCCACATCTCCAGACTCCATTAAAGTTCTCATACACCCTAATGTTGACAGTAGACACAACAAAACAAAAAATGTTGTGTTTAAGGATTTCTTGCACAAGGTTAATAATAATGAGGTCAACAAAAAAACCATCTCCTACAAACAAAAATCAACTTATAATAACCATTTCTTTTGTTTCGATTTTTTAATTACTACCCAAACACACATGTTTATTACCTCTGCCATCATTTTCTAACATTTCTGTCCCACTTCACTTTGAGAAAAAGGACATCCATTTCCATACTTTTACTCCTTTAACAATCCCGACCCATAAATATGTATCGTTCCTAGATATACTATCTAACATTTTTGTCTCATCTTACATTCAAGTCACATCCATTAGCCATTTCCTTTATTTGACTCTTTTAATAACTGCCCAAAAACACACACACATTTATCACTTCTTCCAAGAACTGGTAACATTTCTTTCTGATTTCACTTTTAGATGAAGGACATTCATTACCTTAGTTTTACTCATTTAACAATTCCAAACCACAAGTATTTATCATTTCCAAAAATAGTTACTAACATTTCTCGGTAATTTCACTGTGACGTCAGAACCATGTCTGAGAATATAACAACAATTTTAGAATTAGACAATGCATCCCATGTAACATAAGTACATGTACGAATCTTACGTTCCTGGACACTAGAATATCGGACTTATGGACTTGATTTTTGGTTGTCGAAAAATATGTAAGTTTGCACACATTGTTATTAAACTTTATTTATTTCATACACATAATAAAGTCTTTCATAATATTTTTCCACATTTACAGGTGATGATATTCAGATTCTTGGACAATGAAAAGATCAAGGATATGTGCAATATGTGTTCACTGTCTCAAAGTGTTAGGCAATTTCTAAATATGGTTGCGGAGAACTGTATTCTTACCAAAAGTGGTTGGACAAACCAATATTCATTGTTGTTGGTACGGCTTCATCTATCAAACAAATTCCTGACACAATCACCATTCACAAATATTGGTTCTATTTTATATCAAAAAATCAAATACCCGACTATGTCAACCTATATCTATGTATTAACCCGTATTAATACCTTATCTCACCTTCTTAACTAACTCATACTAGTCATATTTGAATCCACATAATTCTTGCACATCAATAACTCCAAACTCTGTTTTACACCATTCATTATGTAGACTTTTTAGGAATATTTGTCAAATTTGTGAATTGTACCAAGAAAGACGGTCAACCATTCACCCTTCTTATCCTCTCAAACGATTCGTAAGCAACTGACTTTTTCAAATACATTTGTATTCTCATTTGTTATACCTAACGCACTTGAATTCCAGTGGTGAAGAAATTACTATCAACTTATGGGAAAGAATGCACAGACATACCTGAAAGGTTCAATCATTCTGCTATTGAAAATGCACCTAGTCCAGTTGTACTTGCTGTAACAAATGTTAAAGTTACACTTGTTGCCGGTACATCCTCATCAAAACATCTTCACGTATAGACACTCATAAAAAAAATTATAAGTAAAGAAACAAAATCTAAAACAATTACAATAATCTTTATTTCCAGGTACACTGAGACTAGGAACAACAAGTATGAGTCACATGTACATCAATCCACCTATCAGAGACATAACTGCACTTCTCGAGAGGTAATACATAAAAGTTAATACATAAGAACGTTATTTGCATCAATTCTAATGAATAGATTGCTTATATAAACCGAACAAATCCAACTTCAAAACCCATATTTGGACCAACTATATCATTACACGACATGAATCGAAAAACCCATTATGAACTTCTGGTATGGTCTCACTCTAACAGTACCTACTCAAACCTTTATTTATCTAATTTATTTAATACATCGAGTAATCACTGTCTAAGCAACCAACATAACATAAATAACCTGTTTAGGAAAATACTTTCACTTTCAACATCTAACCAACATAACATAAATAACCTGTTGTAGGAAAAGACTTTCACTGTCAACATATGTGATGGACTTCACATTTACAGACACTTGATATCAGGTAATCTGTCCTGATTGCAAAACACCAACTTTCAAACAAGGAAAGAATTGGTTTTGCCCATCAGATGGAATACTTAAATCTCCAAGTTCAATGTAATTTATTGTATCCACATAACACAATTATTATGATTATAAATTTTATACAACCTAAAATTATTTATATCTATAGATTTAAACTTGTTGCAACAATAGCTGACCAGACCGACTCTATGAACGCCATACTATCCGACAATGCTGCACAAAAGTTGTTAGAAGCACGATTGGATGAATTGATAACAAAAGACAATCCTAATCATCGGAAAACATTGCCATTGCTATCTGAGAAAAGTAAAAGTTTTCCAATCAGAATGATAGTGCGTATGACGAAAACATCCACGCGTAACAACATTCGCTTCATGATAATTGGCGTTGAAGACAATGTGGTTTAACAACCTTTAGGTCTGACAACACCTCCCACAAATATCAATGTACTACTTTGACATATAGTAAAGTATTATCGTTTTCCTTGTAGCTCATTGTTGATGTACCTTACAACTGAAAACCTCCCTACAACCCGCGCCAAAGGCACGGGAAAGTTCCCCTAATTACATAAAAAAATTCACTCGTAATTTTTTTAGAAACGACAATTATATATAATTAAACAAAGACTAACAAGAAGTTAGCACAAGAAGAAGGTATAAACCACCACAAGAAAGCAAGAGTTGGGCTTTGGAGCCACAACATCCAATCAAAAGACAATTTGGACCTATTAGAATACCAAAGGAAAGAATGAAGAACGATGTTATAAAAAATATGACACTTTTTTGGTTGTTCGTTACCAAAGATGCTCTTATTTCGAAACATCCATAAGAACTACCAAGCAATAAAGAACATTTCTTCCAAAACATCTCTAAACTTCTTCATCAATCTAACATTCACAAACCAATCTACCCAATCGATGGTCAAATTAAAATCATGATCCTCCAATCCCTACCATTTCAAAATTTTATCCAAAATTGCTTTAGCAACCAAGCAGAGAAAGAACATGTGATGCATTGATTCTACTATACTTACAAATCGGGCACATGACGGATTGAATACCCAACTCTTTCAAAGACAAATTATGTCTATTAGGCAGCTTATCCAAAAATATTTTCACTCATAATTTATCGGTAAAACTATTAAGATTATAGTTATAGTATATGTCTCACTTATTATATAATTCAAAATAATATAATAATTATATTAATTTATTATAAAAAATATTATTTTATTTTTAGTAACAACATAATTATTCTATTATTATACATATTTTTAAAAATTTTAACTATATAATTATAATATTATATATTATATAACATATTAAATCTGGATATGGCTTATGTATAGTTTATAAATTCAAGTTGCGGGTTTCAAATTTTAGCTGAGCTCCGAGTCTCCGACACCAGACGATCTCAAGCTGATGTCGATTTGGAATCGCCACCACCTCCTTCCAATCTACTTTAAACACGAACCACTCCACCAGCCATGACCATTCTATTACACAACATAAACCCTAAAATAAAACCGTTTAATTAAAGGAAGAAGCAACGGTGTAGCGACAGACGGGGCCACAAACTCTAGAAAGATGTGGATTTTGCCGAAAAGGACTCACACTTTTTAAGTTATTCACATTATTTAGTTTTAAGTCGTGTTGATTCCTCCCACATGTCCCCCGCTCCTGTACCCCGCCGCCCATTCCTAATCCCTACCCCACCGTCACTTCCTATTTTCAAATTTCCACTCGCAAAACATATCGACTAACGTCTTTTTATGACATATTTGATATGCTTAAATGAAATGATACATATTAAAACAAATATTATAACGAAGTGATTGAGCTTCTAACAATAATAATAATTAATTAATTAATAATACTAACACATATCTACACAAAATTAACTAATAAATAAAGGTGAAATTATCGTTCTGCAAAATATTGTTTACTAACTTAATTTCTATTAGTCGAATAAAACTAGATAATATATATATATATATATATATATATATATATATATATATATATATATATATATATATATATATATATATATATATATATAAAAGTTCAATAAAGAACTATTATTAATCAAGGAACCAACTAACCAATCGAAAACGTCGGATTTTTAAAAAATCAACGCCAAAAATGGAAAGATCGTAAACTTTTATAATTGATGCATATGTACTGAACTATAACAAAATTGACTTCATTTTTTTTCATTTAAAATTTTTTTTACACCAAGTTTTTTATTGAAAAAAAAACTGAATATACCATTGTTTTTTTTTTTTTTGAAAAAAAATTTGTTTTTTATATATCATCATGGATCTCTATGGAAAGAAGACGAAAAATCGTAAACAACGGTATATTCAGTATTTTTTTTCGATAAAAAACATGGCCTAAAAAAAATTTTAAACGAAAAAAGTGGTGAGTTTTTTTGTAAATGGTGGATTTTTTGGTATAATCTGGTGTGTGTACGTGAAATGTAAAAGTGTACATCTATTTCCTTGGTTGTTGATCGTTATGATTTCCGACGCTCACGATTGGTTCTTTGGTTCCTTAGTTAATTATGGTTCTCTATTTAACCTCACCTTATATATATATATATATATATATATATATATATATATATATATATATATATATATATATATATATATATATATATATATGTGTGACATCCCCAAAATCTCGGCCAGAAAAGACCGATTTCATTTATGCTTTTTAAAATAATTTTCAGAGTAAATCCTTTTAATTTTAAAAGAGATGCGGAATTTGTTCCCAAAAACAAAACATGATAAAATAGATATTTATCAAAACATTTCATAAAGAAATATGATTTCATTTCACAATCAAAAGTCGGGATGTCATGTTCCGATACAGATCATAAAGCATAAACGATAGCATTACAAGTCATTCAACAAATATATACATATACAGACTTGTAAACAAAACAACTTGATGTTCGCCCATCTTAAGCTCTTGCGCCACTTCCTGTAAAATAAATCAACTGAGTGGGTCAGGCTTGGGAGCCTGGTGAGCATATAGGGTTTTCAACCCACAATAATTATATTTAATTTCAACAATCAACAATAAACCCGATTACCCATTCCCGTTATCCTCACCTTACGTTCCTAAAAATAACGTCTATTATAAGGAACCTATTTCAGGATTTTTCATCGGGACGGACATTACTGCAGAGGGGCTTCCTCAACAATAAGTGTCCTAAAGGCAACCATGTGGGGGATAGAGTACACCGGTGAACACGTCGTTCACAACACCTACAGGTAATGAGCCTGCTAGTGTTCCACAGGACAGTCTAGAATAGTCCGTGGTCGTCATCCATACTCTGCTGAATGACTAGAATAACACCAATAACACCGAGGCCTCTCATCTGTTTATTACACACCAATTATCTACCCATGTTCTACCCAACATATTAGTAGATAAAAATATACATTTTTATACATAGTTTAAAAACCTGTATAACATGTTTTAATCAATACATATTCCACATAACAGATGAGGCATACACACATAACACGTATTTCATAGAGAATACATCAGATCTATAAGATAGAAGAGAGTGAATATACACTCACACGTATAACAACCAAATATATACACATAACACGTATTTTATAGAAATACTTCATAATATTGCGTTGGAATGAAAATAACTACACACTCACTTGATCAAAAGATGATCGGGCAGCACTACGGCTTGCAGAAGAGGTGTTTCTCCGTAGATCTGGAAGATCTTCACAAAACCGGGCTCCTCGCGGGCAGCGTTTCGGCTCGGGAATAACGCTCTTCGGGATCCTCGGGGCTTCGGATCTTACTTCGGGGCTCGGGAATATTACCGGGGCTTTGGGGTATAAACGGCACGCAAATCGAGGCAAAACTTAGAGAGAGGGAAGAGTTTGAACAAGAGAAAATGGCTGAATTCGAGTTCTATTTATAGGCTGCTGGGTCTGGGATTACGCGGGGCGTACTCAAATTACGCGGGGCGTACTCGGGTTACGCGGGGCGTACTTTGACGTCACTGCGTGCGTCGACTGGTGGCACTCGAGTATTGGTCAGACAAGTTGCATCCGACTGAGTACGCGGGGCGTACTCAAATTACGCGGGGCGTAATTGACTTGTCAAACTTCTAAATTGCGTAACTTTCGCATACGAGCTCCGTTTTCGACGTTCTTTATATCCACGCGAAGGTCAGACCATACTCTACAACTTTCATTTAGACTCCGTCGGCTAATTTTGACTTTTATTTTTATTATTTATTTTTAGAAGGCCGGGACAGAAAAACTTCGTTATAAATTCATAACTTCTTCGTCTGACGTCCGTTCTCGCCTAACTTTTCATGCTTCGCTACTAACAACAAGATCTTCGATTCTCATTTAGATTGTTTCGGCTAAAAACCGCTCGATCTCAAATCGAGTATTCGGGCTGCATACTGCTAAGTCGAAACTTCAAAAATCATAACTTCCTCATACGAAGTCAGATTTGGGCGTTCCTTTTATGCACGCTCTCGGTTTAACGAAATCTACGACTTTCGTTTAGATCGCTAAGGCTAAATATCGCTCTATCTTAAATTCATATTTTACGTCACTCGGCGTCGTGTCGGTTCTGTCGCGAAACTTCGACAGGTCATAACTTCTTCGTTATAACTCGGATTTTGGCATTCCTTATATCTCCGGAATCCTTGTTTCGACCACTACAACTTTATGCAAAGATATCGGGCTTATCTCACACTTTAATTTTGACGCTTATTTTATTCTTAATTCATTAAATTATAAAAATTAAGAAAATAACACATAAATCACATAATTCAATAATTCACAAATAATACATTCTTATTATTTCAAGTTGAGTTACAAGGTTAACCTAGACTATTACATTGCTAAAAATGGCAAGCCTAGAAACACGGGCGTTACAATTCTCTCCACCTTAGAATGATTCCGTCCCCGGAATCACAC